GATTATGTTGCTGGATATTGTGATGCATGTTTGCATTTTCTTCCGACTCTGCTTGTTGCACGCTTATTTGATCGTTCGATCGTTCATTTGAATGAAAAGACATAATGATCTTGATGATTCTTGTTGATTCAATGTTGTTGATTGATTATGTTTGATTGTGAAAACATGTTCACATTTGCACGATATAAATTCATGATTAATGCTTGCTCTTGATTAATCGCATTCTTACAGGTGTGAAAACATGTGTCTTGCTTGTATTCTGGATTTTATTGCTGTTGTAGGCAGGAGGCGCTGTTGTAGCTACTGTTTTAGCCTTGTTTTCTTGTTTTTGCTTTGTCTTTGCATGCTCCCTTAGGATTCTTATTCCAATTTAATTTCCGATTAAATTTGGAGTAAGATAGACATTAAGAGTTTAATCCATGCATGATAACAAGTAGGCTAGTCCCTTTTAACCTCAACCTTAGGTCCATCTTTTGCATGCTAACATTAGGATAAAATCTCCTTTCGCATCCTGACCTTAGGACCACTTTGCATGACAACGTTAGAGCCGAGTTTCCCTTAGACCTTCTGTGCGTCTCTCTTCTCATCTCAAAACACTTTCGAACTCATTTAATAAACACGATGAACATTGTGCACCACGAGCCTTAAGCACATGGGAAATGATCAGTGGGGGGGGGGGGGGGGTTTCTCCTTACTTGTCTAGAGTGTTTAGCGTATGCCCTTTGGGCGATATATGACACATTCACTCCAATGTCATAGTCTTTAGTGCAACGTGAATCACAAAGAAAACTAATTCACTTCACTAAAACTCACAAACAAAATTCAAACCTTTTTATCCTTCGGTATTTATGTTTCAAACTTATTTTCATAAAAGAGTACGTTACTTTTCCGTTCTACCGCAAACAGGCATCGTCCCTAACTGCTGGAACGGGAACTTAACATTGCTCATAAAAACACTTAACCAACCTGTCATTTTCGTTTACCCGAACTATGTTTTCTCTGATTTCTCATACCAGATGAGGATATGTAGGCACAAGACGACGATGTCTTGGCGAGCATCCTTCCCCCTTCACCCGTAGTTTTCTGAACTACGTTGACTCTAACTTTCCCATTGCACGAGAGAATACGTAGGCATAGGGCGGCAATGTCCTATTGAGTATTTATCTTTATTTTTCTTTTTCTCCCGTTTCCGTTTAGCAGTAGCTTATAGATAAACACACCCTTTGATTAGACAACAAGCGTGGATCCCGTTGAGTACAACGGACGTGAGGGGTGCTAATACCTTCCCCTTGCATAACCGACTCCCCAACCCAAGATTTGGTTGCGATGACCTTGTCTTTTCCCGTTCTTCAAGTTTCGGCCGTTTCCTTTCCCTCTCTTTGGGATAAATAACGTTCGGTGTCGACTCTTCTGTTTTTCCGCCGGGTGTTTTTCGTAGTTGCGACAGCTGGCGACTCTGCTGAGGACGGTTGGTTCCCTATGCGAGTCAACCCTAGCGCTTGTCTATTTTATGTTTTTGGGTGTTTACTTTTATACAGTTATTTATTTTTATGGTACATTATCGTGTTATGTATTATTGCATTTGCATTTTATTGTTATATTATGTTGTTGCTGCTGTGCTATTGGATGGGTGGTTCTATGAGGGATAAGCCCAATACCCAGGCTTGAGTACACGCCTAGGATTAGTGTGGAGAGTAGTGTGGACTTGTGTGGCATCTTGCCACACAAGAGTCTGCACGAAATCTGCGTCTAGATGAGGTTTTCTTTGAAGACATCCTATCTTGTGCATCTTGGACAGTTGAAGGGGTGTTGGATCTAAAAGCTAACGACTCTGGAGATCGTTCATTGGGAATTTAGTTGAGACCTCCTCGATTGACCATGATGCCAAACCAGAAATGGTGAACGTATCATTGTTTCTCGACCTGAGAGTTCGTTATACTGATGACCTGCATATGATGTTATACCTTTCAAGACTAGAACTCACATGTGAGAAGGGATGGGTTTTTCAGGAAACCTTGACCTCCAACCAACCCGGCTTTCTGGTTCTCTTGTCAGAGCGGACATTTGACCTTGGGTATTATGGTACTATGTCAGAGTTTCTGGGATTTCTTATCAGAGCGGAATTCTAATTTAGTCAATAACACAACAACAATTTTTGAGCATTGGATACCTTGATTCTGTGTTTGCATTTGCATAATCATCCTACATTTAACATTGCATGTCAATGTGTTTTACAGGTTCTCGTCTCTCCCTTGATTCTCGTCCCGGTTTTCTGTTGAGATGAAAGCTAAGTTGAAAAAGACCATCATTTACAAATTTCCATTACCAGATCTTGGACCTTTATTTGGTCTGATTTCTATGGATGATCCTGGAATTCTGAACGATTTCAGAAGAGATTATGGGAGAATCCTAAGCCTTGTCCGCAAAGTTACAAACTACGAGCTAGGGGCTATCCATGCTTTGTTGCAGTTCTATGACCCTTCATTACGCTGCTTCACCTTTCCGGATTATGTCTTGGTTCCTACTTTGGAAGAGTTCGCTTTCATTTTGGGATTTCCAGTCTTAGAGGAAATGCCATTCTACCATTCAGAGAGGAGTCTGACCTTGGGAAGTTTGCTAATGCTCTTTATTTGAGCAAGTTTGACTTGGTGGATGACTTAGTTCGCATAAATGGAGCTTCTGGCTTTACCTTGTCTTTCTTGGTGAGTAAAGCTCAAAAGTATGCCAAAAAAGGTTGTTGGGTGGTTTTCAATGTTATTCTAGCTCTATGCATATATGGAATTATTTTGTTTCCTAACATACCAGACTTCATTGAGGCAACATTACCCACATGGAGGCAACATTCAACATCATCTGCATGTTACCCACATGGAGGCAACATTCAAACAGGCAGTGTGAGTAAAACGATTCATAATAATCAATATAGGAATCAATATATAAAAAATCATCATTTTCATATTCAACATCATCATAATCATCAAGGAACATCAAATTCCACAACATTATAAATTACACCAAATTATCACATAAATGCAAATGCAACAAGACTCATGCATGTGGTACCAATCAACAAAATTCAATGGACACTGGGCCATCAACCCTCATTAGATCCACAACAGTAGGATCGATTCTACACGAGAACCGGAGCACAACGCACAATGGGACTGAAGCCACAAGAATCAAGGTCCAAGACCGAAGTTCGGAATGCATATGAATGCATGATGCACACATATAATCCTCATAATAAACTCATTAGGTGCATCATCATTCATCAAAATCATCATAATAATCATGTCATCATAGAATCATCAAAACTCATGAAATCAACATCATAACTCATCATCATTACTCATAGGAATCATCATACAATCATGTATTTATCTCAGAAGAATCATAGTCATATTGATGGTAATTCATCAAAGAATCACAACATCAAAACATCAAGACACCACTGCACAAGATCAGAATTTGCGAAACTATGCTACGTCCGCTAGCAAGTTCGTTGTGTGAGTCTGGGGCGAAGTTCTCCGTGCAAAGGATTATTTGCTGTGCGAACTCGCGATTACAGCAAATTGCTGTTACGCACCAGTAGCAAAACCTGCCCAAAAATCCCGACGATTTCCTTCCCCAATGCCCCAGAAACATTCCTAAATCATTTTTAAGGTATTACGGCGATAAAGGCACAAAATCTACAACTTATTAGGCCAATCCCGTACCATATTTACGCCTTCAATTCCCATAAAATCCTTACAATTTTCCCACATTCATTAGAGTTCTCATTATCAATTATCCTATACGGTTAAAACCTCAACAACAAATTTTGGCCACGAAGGCCTAATTTCCCTTACTCTCTAATCAGCCTCAAACCTATCAGAACATCAGTTCAAATCCCTCAAACTCATTGAACTCATCACTAGAAAGGCAACAACAATCCAATACTAAAAAATTCCTAAACCTTTAAATCGGCTTTAAACACATTGAATCACATATTGAAAACAATGAAGACAATACTCCCCATACCTTAATTGTCTACTCTAAGTCTTTCTCCTTGATTCTTGAAAACCTCGCGAAGCTTTGCCTCAATACTCTTCCTCAGAGCTCTGGCCTCTATTTCTTCCCTTTTCACGGTCTAACAAGAATGAATCCTAATTCCCTCAAAATTTCTTTTTGTTAAATCTAACTTTGGACCTTAAAATGGGCTTTTCAATTTCACCCTTACTAACTCCTCCTCAAATGTCCATTTTGCCCTTAATTCACTTATATTTATTTAAATTAATAATAATACCAATATATTCATATTATATACTATTATTTAAATAAATAACCCAAAATTCATAATTCTCAATACTTCATACCAATCACCGCAAATCACCAAAATACGAATATTCATATTTAAATAAATTAAATAAATATTTCAATAAATTAGGGTGTCACACTTGGCTCTTAAGAGTGTGCTCCAGTCAAAGTCTTAGGTTTGAATCCTATAATTTATTCAAACATAAAATCCATTAAAAAAATTATTTATAATTAATGATTAAAAACAATTGATCATAATATAATTCATTAATTATTAATTATTCAATTCTCATTTAATTAGTTAAATAAATAATCTAAAGACTAAACTAGCTTTGAACCCCTAAAAGAAACCGATTCAAGATGCTACCATGCCTACAGAATTGGAACCCCAACTATTGAAAAGTTGAATAAAAAGCGGTAGTAATGATTTGATTCACTGTTGCTAAGTTTCTTTTTCTGCTCCAACATATATTTATTTATTGATATCATAAGAAGCATGAAACACGAGTTTTCCAGATTATTAATATAATATACATACGTCAAAACCTTTTAATTCAGATTTTTTTGTACTTCTATAAAAAGTTTAAAAGCAGAATCTAAACACCATCATAGATATTGATAAATATTACAAAATGCACACATTTATAGAATTATATATTTATAACAGCTTAATGAAATCAAAGACTTGCATTAGGGCTTATAGTCTAACAATCATGCATTAACTTGTTCAATCTCTCAGATATTCTTGCAGTTTCATTGCCAAATTCTTCTTCTACCTAAAAACAATGCAAATATAGAGAATTTAATAACTATATACACTAAAGGAAATTAAATAAAATCATTTAGCAGTAACCATTATTTACCTGACAATGTATTGAATGGAAAACTGAATCTTCATTGACTTTATAGCTAGCATTAACAATATCCACTCCTTCTTCATTAAGAATTCTAATGGTTTCATTCAACAAAAATTGAGAATTCAATCCAGTTATTAGAACAACCTCTAAGGTTAAACCTATTTTTCGGATCTCAATTTTTGGAGATTCTAACATCAACTTCTTGCTTCTTTTCACATTCACATTTGGCCTTTGAGTTTCTAGTAGAAACTTCTTTTCCTTCATTTTCTCCAAATTTATTTGCATCTTCTTTATGTAATTTGTTGCTTCCTCTAGTCGATCCGGCATCGAAATAGCCTGCAACACATAAATGTAATCAGTGAAAAAAACTGAGTATCATTGTTTTTTCTAGCATAATTCATATGAAAAATTAAGCAACTAAGAGAAGAAGAAGGGAGTAAAGGAAAAGAAAGAAACCTTTGAGGTTTGATGAGGAAGAATTGAATTGAGTTTGTGGTAGAGAGTTTTCATTTGATTTCTTCTATTTCTCTCAATGAATTTTCTTTCAATTCTTGATGAACTAGGGTTTTTCTCCATTACTTTTACAGTATATAATTTCTTGAAGTACTCATTAATAAATATGCTTTTATAAAAGAAAATAACACTTCTTGTAATGTTGGTTTGTCTTGTTTTAGAAAAAGCTAGAATGCATATTATTAGATTAGATGCTACTGAGCAAAGCTGTGTTGTAATTGGAATGGTGGGGCACACTATGTCTGGAATCATATCGATATAGCAACGTAGAGTTTGGGCCAAAATAAATATTTTTTTATTGAGTATCGTGCAACTTTTTGAATGATAAATATGTAATGGAATAGGATAAATCTGTTACAATTGTTGTGTATCGGTTTCAAAGAATGAGTCTAGAAACTTCATATATGGTACCATCGACGACATGAAAAAGAGGGGTCTTTATAAAGTTGATTTACAATCCATATCACATTCCATAATTTTTGTTGCTGATGATATGGTGCGTAAATAGGACATGCAAGTGTATGCTTCATGAATGTTTCAAAAATTTCTTCAAGATCTTTTACAACTCATATAAGTTTTTTTTTAATAAACAAGAGGTATGTTGATATTGAGTACTAGGGTACTCAAATCCATATACAAGATAATTAACGGTTACAAATATAAAGCTTATCAATTACAATTACCAAATGATTTACATAAGATATTCAAGTGGTGCTTGACACCAATCATAGTAGTTATACCTATGGTTCATTTTATTTGAATTGATTCATAGTCAATAAATAAACTTAATGTTGTACTCAATATTCTTGGTATGACCTATGTCTTCTTTGAATAAAAGAACATTCCGTTTATTTCAAATGTGATATATCTTAATTTTTATTCCTAAGATCCCGCCTTATTTGTATTTTCACAATGCATCAAGATCACAAACTTAACTCTTCTCTAACCCCTCATTCTTGGGTTTGCCTTTGTAGAGATCACCAAACACTTTTTTGTGTGTTTTGTTCCTTTATGTTTATGCACTTTATGTTTCACTAACTAGTAAAAATACCCAAAATATGTTTTGTAAACCTTTTGTTTCTTTGCAATGTAGGGGTTTGCATCAAGAACACCAAGCATGAGTCATCAACTAGGGTTTTGCTCCCTTAAGTCAAACATGGTCAACCATTGGTTCTCAAGGGCTATTTCATCAAGTCACGACTTCTAATCTCAAAGTGTTTGATCTCAAGCATCATTCAATATCATTTTGATCAAGGATATCTCAAGGTTTAGTAGCTTGTTTCTCAAGAAAAAGTCAAAGGTTCATGTGTTTATTTTCATGTATTCATCAACAAGTTACCTTAAGCTTTGGTCAATCTAATCAAAGGAAATTTAAGGACACTTTATTTTGAGTTCATATGATGATCCATTTGCTTTGAAATGTAAGAAAAGAACAAGATCATAAGTTGGTTCAAGGAAGTTTGACCTAAAAGTCAACATTTTCAAGTCAAAGTTTCAAAGAGCACAACTCCTTCAATTCTCAATATTTTTGAATGCTTCTTTTTGTAGATGACTCTTCTCATTATCCTCTTCAACTTCTCTTTAAATGACAAGAGCCAATTATACTTTGAGGATCATAAAAAATTTGGAGACAATATAGGTCATTTGTGGACTTAGTGAAATTTTGCCTATTTTCAAGTGACTTTTTCTCAACTTTCAAGAATCATAACTTCAATTTTCAACATATAAGCTCATTATTTTTTCACAATACTCTTTGTGATACTCTCTACAAGATTGTTTTAAAGGTCAAAGTCAAATTGTGCTTGGAAGACCATGAAATTCATTAATACATTATAGGTTATTTTCAGCCATTTGAACTTAGAAATTTTCAAGTTTGGCTTGCCAGATTTTTATGCCATTTTTGACATGCCATAAATTTTTTCTCAAGCATCCAAATGAAATATTTCTTGGCACATTGTGATATTTGCCATGATGTTGATCAATTGCAAAAAGATTTGGATGAAAAAGCCTCTTGTACAAGATGGCCCATTGATGCAAACATGGTGACTTGGAACTGAAGTTTTGCACCATGATCAGAGTTTTGCTTCAACTAAACTTCAATTACAAGTCTAATTAACATGTGATATGCATCTAAATATGATTAACTAAGTTTCCTGAAGTTAATTGAGTGGTAAAACGCATGGTTTGACTGAGTTTATAGTGGATTCAAGTCACACTTTTATCATGACCAAGGGTGCACACGATTACACTAAATTTTCACCCAATTCACCCCTATCAGTATTTTGTCATATTTAAATATAATAGAGGTTCATTATACCTTCATTCCCAAGTTTTTGAGAGGCAAAAAACCTTTGTTTCACCTTCAAATTTTCTGCAAAAAAGTGAGCTACCGTGTTTCAATTTCCAACCACTCTCACTTCCATTTCTTGATTTCTTAAGCTTCATCGTTTTCCTCTAAAGCTTCTACAACAAATTCCAAGCTCTAAGAGTCCCTGAATTGCTTCAACCAAATCCAGTTTCAGAGCTCCTCCGATCGTTTTTGGACAAGGTAGTTTGAAGTTCCATTTTCACTCAATAAGTTACTACAATGTAGTCCTTTGCTTGCTGAATGTTTCCCCTAACCTAGCTGATATTGATTCTTCTTATGCATCATTTAATTTTTGTTTTCGTGTTTGTGTTGTTCTTTGCATTTTGATGAAATTATCCATGTACTTTTTCAATAAATGAAAATGGTGGACATGATTGAGTTCGTTTCAATGAGATGGTTCCAATGGTATAGGTCTCATGACCTATATTTACTATTTGTGAATTCTCCAATGGAAGCTCACCGGAGAAGACGACTGGAGAAGTGAAGATGTTGATCCCAATCAAAGACACGATGGCTAATTGTTTTAATTTCATTGGCTGGATTTGAATTTGATTATGTATGTTTCCTGAGCTAATTTCCACGGTGCATCCTCAGCTAAGGCGTGTTGGATCTGCCACATCAATTACTGAGGCCAGATCAAAAGCGTGTTGTTTTTTGGTTTTTATTTTATTTTCTGATTTTTATTTTTAATTCCATTTTCATTTGAAAATTCATAGTAATTTCATTCTTCATCCAAAAAATATCAAAATAATTTCTAAAACTTTCTTTTATTTTTCTCTTTTTGATGATATATTTTTCATATCTTATTTTCATCATTTGATATTTCTCATAATTTTTTCTCTTTTTTCAAGTATTTTAATTAGCTTTAAAATAGTTTTATGCATTAAAATATTCTAAAAACTTTTATATATCATTCTTATATTGTTTCTGACTTATGTAATTTTTATTGATCATTTCTCATTTAATTTGATACATCATTTATATTTTCATCTTTATTTTCATTTTAAAATTAATTTTAAAAATCATTTTCATGCATATTAATTCATTTTATTGTATTTTAATATTGTTTGACATTTGTTGACTTCTGTTGGCTTGGATTTTAGTTGATTTGGCTATAGGTCTTATCAAAATCAATGGATCTTAGGTGATAATGGGGTGAAAACCCTAATCCATTAAAATGGATGATTGATTTTGATGATGACTTGATCATCATTTGGATCCAATTTGGTTTTGTATTTTTGTTAGTTCCTCTTTTCTTCGTCCCCTAGCTTTTTCTTTTTTACCCTTCTTTGGATCAATTGGAGGATGTTGAATGCCACCTTGTTCATGAAACCTTGAATGGTGCTTTATGAACTTTCATCAATTCAACAAGGTAGTATTTGTGTGAAAATAATTTTGGTACTCTAACGGTTTGTTATTATGAAGTTTTAACAACCAGGTTTTGACTCTAATAGAAACCATATGCAACGTCATTCTGGTATGACAAAAGTCGTATCTGCGCCAAAGAAGCAAGTCTGATTCTGTACCTACTCACATTCAGAAAGATTCTAATAAGACAATATGTTGTTGCTGCAATGCTTTCTTGGATTCTGTCTCTGAGTGTGACTCTGATGTTTTACTTCTGAAGGCTTTCTAGCTTCTGAAGCTAAATGCTAAATACTCTAAAGACTAGGTTCTGCTGAATAAAGTTCTGAAGACTCTGAAGACAAGGTTCTGCTGAACAAAGTTCTGAAGACTCTGAAGACTTAAGTTTCTGAAGACTAAGTGCTAAAGATTCTGAAGACAAGGTTCTGGTGAACAAGTTCTTAAGACTCTGAAGACCTAGTGATCAACTCTTTTACTCATGCTTCAAACATCTCTATTCAGAAGCCTCTGATGTACAGAAGATAAGATCAAAAGTTTATGAGGGAAATAGTACATAGTACATATCAAAACGTTCCATTCCACTACCCTGATTTTATGGTGAAAAGGACAACTTTTATGTACGACTTTTATTCCTATGTAACGATATTCTTTCAAGTCGCTAGCTCACTCAAGGATATTCCTGGTCTTCCTTCCAACAGATCTTTTACTGGCTATATAAGGACTTGATAACTTGAAGAAAATAGTGAAGAACTACAACACAACAACGAAAGAACACAACAACGAAAAATTCATACTGCGTGCAAATTTTCTTTAAGTCTTTTTAAGATATTCATTGTGTTTATATCTGCTTGAGTAGAAGCATTTCATTGTAAATATTTATCTTTTACAAACTATTGTTTGTAATTCCTTAAGGGACCAGTTATGTCAGAATCCTTAAGAAGACTTAAACATTTAGTCTTTATGATTGTTAGTCACTAGCGGTTGCTAGTGCAGATTATAATCAGTTGATTATATTGGATTAAGTCTTTGGATATAAGGAAAAATCACCTTGGTAGGTGGACTAGATTAGCTTGATAGTCTTAAAGTGAATCAGGATATATCGTGTGTCTTTCTCTCTTATTTTGTTTCTCTGTGATTTCTGTTTGAGTTTCATAAAAAGCTTTCATTTTTAAAAACCCAATTCAAACCCCATTTTCTTGTGTTTTTCTCACACTTGCAATTGGCATCAGAGCTTCGATTCTAATTGTGGTAATAATTTTATCAACACTTCACCGTGTTCAGTACCGATCCAGTATTTGTGTGAGACATCATGGTTGCCGCTAATCCTATT